GACTGTGACAGCCACGTTATCCTCACCCAGGGAGACCAGGTTCCTGTAGTTCTCCAACATCACGTCCGTGTACAAAGCCCTCTGAGCAGGGTCCAGGCACTGCCACTCCTCCTGAGAGAATTCTATGGCCACATCCCTGAATGTCAAAGGCCTCTGAAATGAAAACACATTTTACCATGAGGTTATGGGGAGAGGTCTTAGCTCTACACAAAATGAGGATAAGAAGAAAGGATGGATTCCATGAAAATGAGTGTCTGACAGATAAGAGTAAGGTACATAGCATACTGTATCACTTTAATATACTTTTCCATAAAAAGGTATATCATCTTCTAAATTACTGTGGATTTCTCATTTTTTGCAGAGAAGAAAAAGATCAATACAGAGTTACTGCTCTAGAAGGTGTAGTCTGGGAGGCCAATGTAGGAGGATCCCTTGAGCTCAGGGATCAGCCTTAGCAAGAGTGAGACCTCTCTCTACTAAAAATAAAAAAATTAGCTAGGCATCTCTAGGTAGGCCAAGGCAAAAGGGTGGCTTGAGCCTATGAGTTTGAGGTGGCAGTGAGCTATGAAGATGCCAAGGGTGACAGAACGACATTGTCTCAAAGAAAAAAAAAAAGACCAGAACATACATAAAGAAAATAAACCATAGAGTACAAAATAGATCCTACAGTACACTGAGCAACAGCATGAAAATCCACTTTACATACTATGTGTCCACAAAATAACGAATCCTACGCAGACTCAAAAAAAATTAGAAAATAGAAATACAAATCATTGTCATATTCCCTATTTTTTAAAAATATAAAAGAAAATATTAGCACATTTTGTTTACATGAGGGAGAAATCTCATATGTTCTAGTCGGACCTTTGTATCTAGGGGTGGGTATCTTGTCAGATCTAACAAAATAGAAAAATGCTCTACAAGGGAACCAGCAATCACTTCTTCAGCTTCCCAACCTGGCTAGAAACACCCGAGAAGGCAGGTACATGACATTCTCTGTAACAGTGAATAACTGTAAAGATTCACATGTCTGGCTCGGCGCCTATAGCTCAACCAGCTAGGGCGCCAGCCACATACACCTAAGGTGGCGGGTTCAAATCCCC